CGTCACGTCTTTCTCTGTGGTGGATTGCACGAACACTCCTTGTGGGAATAACGAGCACCGGCCCACCGGCGATAATATTTTCCCGGCGCTTCGCTCTYTCTGCAAGTTCGACACCGAATGTGCCGACTTGATCCACCGGTGCACGGGTTGCGAGCGAAACGCTCTTGGAAACAAAAAGTTCATCCACACTTGAAACAAACTGATGTAATCGTACGCTTCTTCGGTGTCGSAGTCACAGCCGGAGTCGGAGTCGCTACTACTCTGGTCACTGTTATAAGAATGAAAACAATTCAAATTCTCGTTTGAGTCACGGTTAATGATTGATAAATACGAGGTCCAGGAGTTTAATGACCTCCCCCCCCTCACCCAATCTACCTACACACACACGCACATAATTTCAAAGTGTATACTTTTGACAAAACCAAGCGTTTGTGGAACGTGTGTGTAATGCCAAATTCCATAGATTTTGCACTATGAAGACTCACTGAATCAACTTCAAAACACATCTTAATAATCATCGTTTGTGATAAGTGACTAGAAAAAACGATAGACATTGATGTCTATTGAAACGATGCACAAGAATTTGGTTATGTCAAAAGTTATATGGGGAAAGGACTATGGGGAGGCAATGAAATGCCTGTGTGCATAGAAATGTGATACAAAATAACGCCCTCATTCGTTAGGTTTGCACGATAAACGGTCTGAATTAAGACAAGATAAAAGCCGCAAGGCTGGTGCTAGATTTTACGAAWCCCTGAGCAAAGTTTTTGAGTATTACCTATTGACAAAGCACATGATATTTGTCGAGCAAATACCCAAAAAGGCACACAATTAAACCATACTCTTCGTTCAATTTTATGCCATTTNATATTGTTCAAAATAGATCATATTGTTTATTTCAAAATAAAAAGTTGTTTTTTAATAATATCTTTACATATTCATAAACATATTTGAAATACAGAGACCCAATTAATAGTTATTAATAAAGAMATTTTTTTCTAGCTACATTAATTGTTGTAGCAATAGTTATATATTAGGGGGTACTGGGGGGCAACTTCCCTATGGATTTGTTAATGTTATTACCATAAACGTTTGCACCCACATAAGTTTCTACCAATAAGTGCTGCCTATGATAATATGATAGAACGTATTAGTTATATAAATGCTGTGTATAATATTATAATATTCGTCTGTAAAGAGGGAAACACGTACAAAGTACAGTATAATTAATCGTTTATTTATTTTTCTGACTTGAACGGCTGAAAATAATAAACGTCAGAGACGTTATTTAGACATATATATATATATATATATATACATATATGTTACGGGCAAAGTATACAATTTGGGCATTTTATAGAATGCCCAGGCGTTTTATACATTTTCCGGACATTTTATACAATGCCCTTCGTAAATTGGGCAATATAGATAACGGATGAAATGATTTGATGAAATATGGTAGGTAAATCGTAAAACATAGTTAAAATAAAGTCAAATTATCATCTAAAAATTATTATATATATCACTAGTTTGTTTGTTCTTATGTTATTTTTACAATGGTGATGTCCGCTTGTCCACATATTATATGCGTGTACGTGACATAATATATTATAATTTATAACTATATTTACTGATTTATAAGTTATATTATATTATGTACATCAAAATGTCACGGGAGCAGTACATGCGACAATAAGTGATAATAAAATTT